ATAATCAATTGAATTTTTTTTAATCAATATATTATATTTTTTTAATTTTTTTACCATCTTGTTTGTAATAGTTAATATATTATATTATCAAAGATTTGTTTCAATTATATTTTGAAATATTATAATTGATTAATGTTTCAAGATGCTTTTTTTGGTCATTTTACATTCTTAGCAGTTAGTTTTACCAAAAATGATTTGTTCATCAGCCACCAACTAGCTTATCAACTAGTTTGTCAAATATAACCTAAGTATCATTGATCAAAATACATTATCTAAATGTTTATTTAGTAAAAAAGGAGAAAAGAAAACCTAGAGGTGTGGTTGGTATAATACCAAGTTTTTTTATTCAAATACCCATGTTACAACCAATTGTACATGGTTATCAATTTAATTGATATCAATGGTATATGTTGATATTGGTTTTGTATCAACTTCAAGTTACATATATAAAAATTTATTATTATTTTGAAATTATGATATTTGAGTTTTAAGCCATCCCCACTCTCTTCTCATGCCTATGTTAACATGAGCTGTGCCCACACTAAAGTCAACCGCGCATTAGACCCTCCATGAAGTCCTAAAAAGTAAAAACTCTCTCCCTCTCTCTTGTTAACATGAAGACGAGGAAAAGAAAGATTAAAATAGAGTAAATTACGTTTTTAGTCCTTCTGGTTATAAGATTACGATTTTCATCCTTCTAGTTATAAGATTATGATTTTCATCCATATGGTTTATAACTCATTATCTTTTTCATATTTATGATCTAAAATTTATTGTTTTCTGTTTCGTCCATATGTTTTACAATTAATTTCTATGTTGGTCATCCATACTTAAAAGTAGTATTTTGTCTCAATGATGAAAATAAAAATGAATTACAAATTATCAATTTTGAAACCACATAAATGAAATCCGCAATATTTAACAAACCATAAGAACAAAAAACGTAATTTACTCTTAAAAATATTAAATTTCATCAACATATTCTTTTTGCCTTAAAAATATATTTTCTGGACGATATGATTTAATAAAATAATAATTACATTAACAACATTTGATAAACTGAAAAACATTTTATAAATCAAAATGAATGTTATCAATGTATATATTGTTATAATAATTTTATATGACAAAAAAAACATATAAAGATTCATTTTATACCTTTTCATGGACGCAACCATGTTGGAGTCAAAACTGGTATCCGTTCTCCCTTATATTTAATAAATAAAGTTTGATATAGTCTCCCAGCCGTTATTCAAACATTATAAACTTGATGATTCCCACCAAGAATTTGATCGATTTTTTCGGACCTCAACATCCTGCTACTCATGGTGCTTCATGATCAGTATTGAAAATGAACGGAACTCGGTTAACTTTATTTATTCATATCAAATTCTTCGTTTTTTTCTTTTTTATAAATGTCAAGTTTTCTATAGATTTTAAAGTAAGCATCTTATTTTATTGAATACACAGACTTTTTTACGATAAATTTCATGTATTTTTTAATGGGTTTTTTATTTATATGGTTGTCTACACATATATTCTATTTATTTGTTTAAATACAGGTATAGTTATATTGTTTAGGTCACCAATGATTTTTAACTATTTTTACGACAAGTATTTAATTAAAGACATATATTTAAAAAGAGATTTCTCAAACTTGAAATCGTGAATTTTCTTACATTTTTTCAAGACAGTGTAGATAAATTTTCTTCCTCCACTCTTTATTTGATGAAAGAATTATATTTCAAATTTTAAAAATAAAAGAAACAAAGCTAACAAAATTATCAAATATATTGTTTTCTTCTATTATATTCATTAACGTAAAATGCTCATTATTTTTTTAAATTGTCAAAAGAATTTATTAAAGTTGAAATTACTATTAACGATCAAGATAGTATAAAGTACAAACCGAAGAGAGTTTATCAACCAAAACAAAGATCTAACGATTGAGAAAATGGGGCAACTTTGTTTAAATACGAAACAGATTTTGGGTTTGATCTCGAGCCACCAACTAGCTTCAACCGTTGAGCGAGTAAAATATCCTCTCACATTGGTGTTCTTAAAGATGTATTCTCGTATGAATTAATTGGGTTGTCGATAATTAATTTTTTTTTTCAAATATGATAATGAAACTTATATTATAATGTCACAAGAAATTGAAAACTTTGACAAAAAATGTAAGCATAGGACGGAGCCATTATTGTTTTTGCGACTGTTGGGTAACAAAAGAAGACACCGAAAAGCGAAAAGTCAAGGAGTTGAAGATTTGGGAGAAAGAGACGTCAGAGGACCACGGCGGCGATTGGTGAATTCCGCCGTCAGCTTCCGATGGGCCACCATTTTGACCATCAATGGGGTCCACTCCTGACTTGCTTACACCTGACTTTATTTTCTTTTGTTTTTTTCCTTGTCTCATTACATCTTTACGAAATACTCCCCTAATTAGGTTCGCTCTTTTAATATTATTTTATAAATAATATATATATATATATATATATATATATACACACACACTAGTAGAATACTCGTACAATGCAGCAAGACACATTTCGATTTTAATATTCTATTTTATTATTTGTCTCTGTCGATGTTATAATACGATTTTATGTGTTTTTAAGAACGCAATAATGATTTTATTTTTGAATAAAATATAAATTTGAAAATATCATAAAAATTTGAAAAATATATATATATCAAATCAACTATTTAAAACTTCTCATTTTTTATTTAATTTCTTTAATTTATTTATTTTTATTATAATTTAATTTAAGTTTTTAATGACGAAAAAATTTATTTTTGATATAATAATATAACATTTTATAAAGATAATAATTAAGTATTCTGTTAGAACTCAATGATTATGTTAATTATATTTTAGATTTTTTATATTTAAAATGAGATGTTTATCATGTATTTGATTATGTTTATCTACAGTTAGTCACACGAATTAAGATATAGAGCTTTAATAAGTCGTACTTACGCACAATCTACTTGTAATTTTGAGTTTTAAGTAATATGCATTAATAAATAATACTTTACGCATAAAAAGTGGTTTTTAAGAGTTTTTGTCAAATGCTTTATAATATAGTATATATTTTTTTATTATAATTTAATTTAAGTTTAATAACGAAATAATTTATTTTTGGTTTAGTAATATAACATTTTATAAATATAATAATTAAATATTTTGTTAGAATTCAATTATTATCTTAATTATATTTTACATTTTCTATATTTAAAATGAGATATTTATCATGTATTTGATTATGTTTATCTGCAGTTAGTTACACGAATTAAGATATGAAGCTTTAATAAGTTGTACTTACGCGCAATCTACTTGTAATCTTGAGTTTTAAATAATACGCATTAATAAACAGTACTTTACGCATAAAAAATGGTTTTTAAGAGTTTTTGTCTAATGCTTTATAATATAGTATAGATATATGGAGTTGGGTTTTAAGTATATAGGAATTCAAGATTTGTTGGAAACCGACACATCGTAGGAACCCTTGCACAACCCTTGATCTTAGACCGTATGAACGTGTGCACCGTCTTTTTCAAAAGAGGGTTAATCAATCATTCGGTCATTGTATTGACGTTGCTCGTTAATGTATCTTAATATCTTTTGTATGTACAGATACGTTAAGTTAATATTCATTGTTTCCATGATATATACAAGGTTTGTTAATGTATGTTAAAGTTCATTGCTTTTACGTTAAGATATATTAAAATCGCATCTTAATATATGTTAAAGGTCTTCATGTTAAAGTTGTAGGTCTTGTTGACTTATATTCATGTATATTGAGAGTTGTTATTTTATGTCAAGTTAGATAGCATAACTGAAAGATGCAAAAGATGACCCATCATAGATATATGGTTTTTTTGGGTTAAAATAATCTAAGTAATCAATTTTAAATCTTCAAAATGAGAAAATTTAATGGTTTTTTATGCAAAAAAAGAATCCATGAGCTTGATCATTCAAAATATGAAAGTTTAGATATTATTTTTCATTCAAAAAATTAGTTTACAGACTTAATCATTTAAAATAGTTTGGGTTTTTTATGAATTTTTCTCTTAAATTGTTTATATAACTATTGACCAATTATTATACAAGGAAATAGTATGTTTACCGGTTCGTTCTTGTGTATTATGTTTGCATACAAATGCAAAAATTTAGAATTGAAGTCAAACAAGATGAAAGTAACATGATGTTGTTTTTAATTCTAGGGTTGGTTAGCTAATAATGGTATTTATATGCTTTATATAAATTATATTTAAGATATATAATTGTTTGTTCTATAAATTTAAAATAATATATCTTAAATCCGAGTCTTTTATATTTCAATTTTTAATAATATCCTATTACCGTAATTAGTTTATATAATTATTAATTACAAATTAAGATAAATATTTTAATACTCTAAAATAAAGAAAAAAAGTGCTAAATATCAAATTCAACATCATCGTAATATCATACAATAATGACACCAACTTTCTAATAATATTTTACCGTCATACTTAAAATATTTTTAAAGATATCATTTTATAGAAAGTAAGTAAGAATCTGTCTGATTCAAATAAGAAATAGTCAATTTAAGTGAATGCAAGAAATTATCCGAGCTATTTATTATCTGATTTTAAGGGATGACAATTATGAACCGAATTAAAGGGTAGTACAATTATTTAATAAATAAATATATTAACCATTAATTATAAATTATATTTATATAATTTGAATATAATGCAATAGATAATCATAATTATTCCTAAATCGTCTCTATTTTAATATGAAGATTATAACTCAAGCTATAATCGTTAATTACCAAATCCGATTTTATCACCAAAACAATTTTTTTACTGTGTTAGTTTATATTCATAATTGTGTTATAATCTCATGTATCGTCTAAGTTTTGATTAGTTTATGTTCATACATTCGCTTGTGAGTATATATATATATATATATATATATGAATGTTAGATAACGCTCACGTATTCACATATAATACACGAAGGTGCAATATTTTCATGCATGTTAAGATGTATAAAGATTGATATGTCTGAATATGTTATAAGGTATGTGAGTTATGTTAAGTCCCTCTACTTCAATGCCATCAAGTTCGGTTTGTGTTTTTGTGAGGCGTCGGATCAATTAACCGAACTCATCCAAGGATAACGAGGAGGGTCTCACGGTTCTCAAGAAAGATAAAAATTCCTTACGTAATCCCAAGTCTCCCGGTTTTCATGAAATGGTAGGATTTAAGGTATCGTTTCACATATATTCCTTTTATAGTGTGATAGTTTTATATATTTGTTTCACAATGTGAAACATTTTTACATGTATTTTCAAAACAAAAAAGTTTTCACATGTATCTTTTTTCACAACGTGAACACAAACATATTGTAAAAAATCTTAAATTATAGTCTTTGATGAAAAAAAATCATGTAAAAGAATATTTTTATATGGATTTTTAACTTTTCATTGGTTCTCATTTGATTACCGGTCCTATGTAAGTATGTATCTATGTATATAGTGTTACTTAGGGGCCGATTACCAAACGTTTACTCAGGTAAGCGCTTACCAAGTAATACCCGGTAAGTGAGGGCAACAACTCTTACCACGGTAAGTGCTTATCGGGTAAATTGTTGCATACAACGTCGTTTTGGTAAACTAAAATCTTACCCGGTAAGTAAATAATAATATTAAATTTTACAGGTAAGTACTTACCGGGTAAATGTTTGATAAACGGCCCCTTAATTGGGATCACGTGGTAAAAAGTATGAGAAGTTGGTAAAGGTATTCTTATATTATGTGAATCTTAGGTTATAATTTGTGAAAATGGTGAAGGCTCAAGACTTGTATATTTACCTCCACACGCATTCACACATCATGTAAAGATTACGTTATATTATATAAATGTTTCATTTCTTATATTTTTTTATCAGGGACGTTCCAATTTTTTTGGTGGCTCTGTTACATTCAAAACTTTTGATTACATTGCATAAATGAGATAATGGATATAATATATGTTAAGAACAAAAATGAACTAAACCTAAAACGATTAACAATCTGAAACTAAACATAAACCATTAATGATTTGAACCTAAAATCAAACGATTAATGGTTTGAACATAAATAATTTCGGTTATTCTTTTACACAGGTCGATAAAAATACCCTAAACCACGTGTAAATTTGGGCCCCAAAATTTCGAGGGCCCTGTTCAAATTCTCACATTTAACATGCTAAGGAACGGCCCTATTTTTCATGAAAAATGACATTTCTAACAAGTATCCAACCTTATATATTATATGTATATATGTTATGTGTATGTATTAAATGAAGATATAAGTGAGGGTTCGTATTCCAAATACAAAGTCAACTGACATTTATAGTTGACCTTAATTAATAATTTATGTTTATCTAATTGTTATTTTTTATAATTATTAGTTAAATACCAAATTGACCTCTAAGTTAATAACTTAATATACAATAAATTATGCCCATTATTGTACTTTTAAAACACCTATAATTTGTTCAATTTTTTACAACTTGTCAATTTTTATTTCATATGTATTGCTGGTTGGTTTCCATTGTTAAGTTTAGATTTTGGTTTGTTCTTAATTAGCTAAAAGATAAACAATTGGTAGGTTCACCGGCTAAGAATAGGGAAATTGATTAAAATAGTCATTTTTCACCTTTTAGTCATTTCTCTTCTAAAATAACGAAAATAGCCGTAGGTCTGCAATTGACTGGTCCATAACTAGTGGAGATATCAAAGTGTAAGAAAAAAAAGTTTCTGAACTAGACCCGTAATTGTAGGGACCAAATATGTAAATTAGTTATAGGTCCGCAAAAATATATCCGTAATTGCATGTGTTTTTCCAAATTTACACATTTGGTGGACCTTGTTTAGAAGTTTCCTTTTTTTTTTCCTTACATTTTGACCCTACCCGTAAATTCCGAACCTGCCAATTGCAGACTCATGGCTATTTTCGTTATTTTAGGAGAGAAATGGCTAAAAGATGAAACCATGCGGTCAAAATAACTATTTTAACCAAAGGGTCATTGGCCTAACGGTATCGTAGTCTATGACCTCATAGAAGGTCAGAGGTTCAAACTTCACCAAATGTGAGGAGGGTATGCGAGTTTATTTATTGCATTTGCCGTATATAAATATTATATACTTTAAAAAATAGAAATTTCAATTAATTTCCCATAAGAATAATGTATTTGATTTATTTCGTCTCAATGCTTCCCTCGTCCCATATCTTGATCACCCTGTTTGCGCACACTTCAACTAATCTAATGGGGCTATGTAGGCGTCTGGGGTGTAGCTCAGTTGACAAAGATGTGGGGGGGACTTTGTCCAAATATAATACAGAACTCGGGTTTAATCATGGGCCCCCGCTAGCCCCAACCATCCAGTGAGCAAAAAATGTCCCTCACGTTAATGTTTATGAAGGTAGATTCCATATGGAACCATTTAGAATTGTCGATAATCAACATTTTGCTCAAATAACTAAAATTACGTTGAGGTGAAATATCTTTAAGAAAATATGTGATATATAAGTACCATAACGAAACTAACCAATTGAACTACATAAATATATGATGTTAAATGATGATTTAAGATGTTTGTGTTTTTATTACAATAATGTTATGTTTGTCAAACTAATTCATAAACTAGTTGTTGACAAAATGATCAAGCTAAAGGTAAAACATTGATCAGGCCTGATAAAGGATGACCCGGTGCCGTAAGGACAGCTCATCTGTTGAAGGAGAGACAAGATGGATTCTCGATCCACAACTCCCATTAAATGTTTCCTTTACTGATTTGTCTCGACACCCATTCAAACCTACATCCCAGCAAATAGCCATCTCGGTAGAGTCCAACTTGTTTCTGAAGATTGTATTGTTATGGTGGCTCCAAAGCAAGTAGCATGTAGTGCAAATGGAAGCCTATAGAACTTCATTTAACCATGAAGAGAAGGAGACACTCCCTTGAGTGAAACGCATAGAAATTAGTGTCAGATTGTTACGTCAATCAGCTCCCTACATTAATTAATATACGTTATTTTAATAATTCTTTTTACTATTTAAATAAAACAAAATAAAAACATGACATGATGTATATTCATGTACAATAAAATAATATATTTATATATATATTTTGTGTAGAGTCATATAATGAAATGAATGCCAAGTATTTGGGAATTTGCCTCAGGCATCACATATTCAAGTTATGCACGACAATTAAAGAGTTTGCTAGTTGTTCTTGGGAACATTTGGGATTAATCGAAACCTGTACAAGTCTGATCGAATACCCATGATATAAAAATACATGCAAATGTAAAGGTAGAAAAAGAAAAGCAGTATTAAATGAAGCTAAAAGTTAGTATAGTAATTATGGAAACGTTAAAAGTCAAATTAAACCTACTCTTACACATACACACCACTAAGACTTTTTAATTTGTTTTTAAATTTATCATTTAATGGAACAAATAAAATGGAAACGTTACACAACATAGTTGTCAAGTTCATAAATAAGATAATGAAATGGTCAATGAATTAAATCTAACTTAGAACCACTAATCCATTTTATAATCATCTTGATCTTGCATTACGCTTTTTATTAATTTTTTAATCATTTAATTGTTGTCTTAATTCATTATAATTAATGTAATCATCATGGATTGTTCATGTCATCTGATTTTTTAATAACATGTTATACATTATCTTCTCTAAACTTTGACTTTGAATTTTTGGTCCATCATTAATCATATGCAACATTTCATTTATTTCATAATTCACAAGAGTTTATGATTTTAGTTATTACCAAGTTAATAGATAAAAGAAAAAAGAACCCTAATTCTGGACTAAATCCCGCATAGACATCGAAGGCTAGCTTGGACGCAAGTCACGAGCTAGCATTGGAGCTTGTCCGGTTCCTTTCTTCTACATACGCAATTTCATGTACGTGGTTTCACCATATCATCGGGTCCATTGCAAAATCTGTTCCGAGGGTCCTCCTGATGTACACGATCCACTGAATGCAGTTTCGATGGAAGGCAAGTTCAGTTCGTGTAGCATAGAAACAAACTTTGGGTTTAAGGCACAATTCTCACATTTCACGGTGACAAAAGTTAGATACTTAATGGCAACTTTTAGCACGACAGGCATCAAAACCACGAGCAATAGTTGATTCTACAATCACGTGTGATTAGGTTTTACGAGTTCATCGCCAGTAAAGATAGATTTGGCGGCAACTTCTGTTTTTTTCGGGCAAAAGTTAGAGCACCGACAACTCTTAGCTGTCGATTTTCAGAAGTAACTAAGGGGCTCGATAAACTGGGAAAATTGTAAAACCAGAACGTGCAAACACACGTCAAGAAAAGATCGGCATATGCAATAACGTCAGTGGAGAAGGTACAATAAACTAAACAGCTTAAGAAGTGCATAGCCAAAGATGGTGATGGTACACTGAGGATAACCGCAATACGCCAAAAGATACATGACCATCTTACACAAAGATTTTAAAAAGTTCGGCTGAACAAAAGCTAAAGATTTGAAAGCATAACAAACCCGTAAACCGTCTTTAAAACACGTACTCCAAAAAGCAACGACTATCTGTTCCATTCCAAATCAGCACCAGATCGTGAATTAGCATTGTTCGAACGTGTTATATCTTCCGGTCTGATAGAATTTGCAAAAGTATGCCAACCCAAAAGATATGGTACAGCAAACTGCATAACATAGAGGATGTTAGAAAAACATCCAAAAACCACATTGCGCTTAGGCTACGTTTGACAAACTATCTGATAAGATAGTTATTGGTTGATAAGCTAAAACAGTCATGTTTGGTAAAAAAAACTAGTGGATAAGCTAGATGATAATGTAAAACAATCTAAAAAGACATGCTGAAAAACTAATCGGAAAAATACAAGGCACATAATCGGAAAAGGTGAAAAGAAGAAGCCCACGGAGCTTATTGAAACGCTATTTTCAAAAAGGGCCAACGAAAAAGAGGTTTTTCAATAAGCTCAAAAAATAAGGTAGCGGCCTTAATAAACCCTTCAAAAAAGGGCCGAACATAAACCAAAGGGCTGTCAAAAGAAGCATACATTGAAAGCTGATACGAGAATTGCGAATTCTGCCTTGGTAACGGGAATATAAATGCTCTCATCCATGTTTATAAGCTTGTTCTGAACACCTTCAGTTCATTAACGCATTTGGTTAATTAAACGGATAATCAAGAAATGAGTTATTTAAGAATGAAAAGAGTAAGTAACAAAGATTACTGAGATTAAAGAAGTGGCCAGATCCATCTGGGAGAGGCTCCACTTTCAAAACCTTCCTCACCCTACCTTCATCGCTGCAATAAAAATAGTAAAAAACAAAATATTAGACTCGAGAAAATACACCTGCGGCCATCATCATAGAGTCAATGCATTGACATATGAACAAATTGTTGGGAATCGTATTTACGTCCACATGTGTATACCGTCCTACAGGCTACAACAAAACTGTTTATGTCTAAATGTCCTAATAGATTGTTTTATAGGACTTCAGTTTATAAGACCAAACAATTGTGCATCTCATGTAAAGGTGTGACAATATGCCGTTATCATGTATAACGAATGATCGTGTGAGAATAGGTGTTTAAGGTGGGAAGTGTGAAAAGGGATCTGGACCCTTGATCACTTTTAATCTCACCCCCATCCCATGAATTGCGCTTCTCACGAGAATTGATGCGGTGCATCTATTACTGTTGACCTTCAATTAGGATTGATCTAAGAATGGAGATCCCTTCTTACCCTTCCCACCGTAACTTCCATTCTCACCGGAACCCAACCTTATCATGTATTTGGGCATCATAAGAAGTTTTCAGGATACTTATGAAATAAAGTGTCCTATTAGTTCTTTTATAAGACATTTTAGAGAAGTGTCATATGAACAAATCTCTTATTGGACACTTGTTTCTATAGGACGTTTTTCTTCAAATAATGATGTATAAAAAGGCAGATAGCACACTGATTGTCCTAGAAAAGTTGTTAGGACGCCCAAAAGCGTCCTATCAACTTTTTGTAACACAGTTACATAACACGTTCAATTGTTTGGTCCTATAAACTTAGGTCCTATAAAACAGGCTATTAGAACATTTAGACACTTCTGGCATCCTATAAGGCCGATCTTATTGTAGTACGTGTTTGATTTTTGGTTGTCTGCAATTGTACTTACATGGGTGTGGAACTGTGGATTACGATCCTAGCATACCACATGCTTATAAACGGAAATTACCTTTTTCCTTTAAAAGGGTCATGAAAGAATTCACATGAATCCCTTGCACCAAGGCTGATAAGATTTCCGATTTCAGTAACTGATAATGAGAATACCTGGAATTATGGACGAAATTTATAAAACAAAAATAAAATTAATTTCATAAAATGAATAGCCAGAAAAAAAGGAGTTCATGAAAACAACAATTTAGATAATAAACCAAACAGTAACATGCAATCTTGATTAATGATGCCCATTGTAGATTTGAACAAAAAGGTCCTTAATTTCTTTGTTAATTCGAAAGGAAAAAGACAATTCTAATGAAAGGAATATAGACCTTTTTCAGGAACAGAGGGAGTTCATACGTTTAATTGGAAATTTTTCTCATGTTAAAAGACCTTATTACCCTCAATATGATCATGGTTGATCTGTCTATTTTCTAGATCTTGACAGCTAAAACTAGAAATACAGGTCAGATTGTACTCAAAAGTTGGCTTCTTTATCAACTTCTGCTAAAAATCCAATGTAATTATGTTTTGATATGGACAAACAAACCAGGTTAAGCAAAATCACAACTATTTATCAAAACAATACCATGAAGAATAAGAGACTAGGAGCGCCAAAATGTTCAAAATCCCATTCGTCTTGGCCATGTAACTTTTTCTTTGTGCCAGTCCCATGAATATGGTGCAAGAAGAACTAATCTGTGATTGCGAGTTTCATTTACATAATGTGAAAAGAATCAAAACATGGTTATGTGCCCCATTTTCTATTTGAATTCTTCTTATAAAAGGAGCCAACTTTGGGCTCCTTCCCATAGATCGCCAATTGCCCAGTTCGAGTCTTCTCAAGAACACAAAGGATTTTCCTGGCTATTATCTTAAGGGGATTAGTCAAGGTGCGTACAAGATGGCCCGGACACCACAATTACCATAAAGAGGAGCATTCTTATTCTTTGAAGAAGGAAGCAAAGGGCAATAATGCCGTATTTTTACATTGTGAATTTACACATTAAGCTCATCCAAATGTGCATTATGAGCTTGGTCCATATAAGCCAACATTGCAAAAAACTTGCATATAAAGACAGAAAGATTATATTTGCAAAAACTCAAATGTATTATCAATCAAAGACCAAGAAAATAAAGTTACCTGTTTTCTGCTCCAGTCATATTGACGAACACCAGCAGCGGGTGCAAATTGAAGCAACACAAAACCCTCCTTTGTCAGCTTAAACGCACCCGACTGTACAAACAACCATCCCCACAAATTAATCATAACAAATAGAAGCATCGCATAACCAACACTTTTATACAAAAAAAATCACAGTAATTCCCCCTTCCACTAGCCAAGAGTGCTACAGTTTGATTTTGGAGTCAAACATGTTACTTTTCAACTTCACAATTGACATGATTTGCATTATAAAACCAAAATTAATCAAAGTGGAAACAATCAAGTATACATACATCTAAAGGGGCGAACTCAGGTGGGCGAGGTTCAACTGTAAGAGCAGCCTTTCCTTTGTATATGGAATGCCCAATGAAAACCTTGGGAGTCTCTGTTGATTAATCGAAACAAAACAAAACCCATTTCAGTTTGGGACTAAAATTTCATAAATAGAAAGACAAGATTACCTTGTCTAGGTTGAGAGACATCAGGCCTTTGTTGTTGGTCGGAGTATTGGCACTTGAGATTGAGTTTTCTTGAGGTAGGGTTTATGAATTTGATTGTAGATGGAGCAGAGATTTGAGGGGCTAACGTGAAAGGGGGTTTAGGGTTTTGGAGGGCGCGTGTTGAAGATATTGATAGATTTAACATCTCCATTTTTCCACGTTTTCTATCAAAGCTTTTTACTGGAGTCTTCACCGGGTGACAGTGAGAAGATGATAAAGCCCCTTTCTATCGATATGTATAAGGGGGTGTTTGGGATTGCTTATCTGAAACAACTTATGACTTTTCTACAAAAGCACTTATTAACTTATGATAAGTCAGAAGTGTTTAACTTCTTAAAAAACTCCTTATTACCGGTTTGACACCGGTATAAGTTGTTTACCCAAACACTCAAAAGTGCTTATTACCGATGCCACACCGGAATAAGTCAATAAATTGTTTTTATAAGCAATCCCAAACACCCCCTAAATCTCGATAAACCCTTCCCAAAAAATAGAAAACAAGAAAAGAAGTTGTCCCTCTTTTCTTTTTTAAACTCATTTTTACAGATTAACTTTTGAGAAAAGTTTGAATTTTCAATTTTAAATAAATTAAGGGACGGTTTGGTTTATGAATTTAGATGGAATTAAAATGAATTGGAATGACCAAATCCTTTGACCAAATTTTAAATATAATGTTTGGTTCATGGAATAAAAATGATGGAATCATTTCAATTTCAATAAATTCATTCATTCATATATTTTACATTCCACAGTAATACTCTCGGATTTCAATTCTTTTCCGACAAATTCCTTTCATAATCCAAATTCATTCAACGTTGCATCTACCATCTCATCTAATTGATCTCTGGTTCGATCTCCATCTGGTACGCTCTCTCTCTCCCCTCCCCCTCTCTCGTAATTTTTCCATCTATACGAGATCGATAGACAACATATGTAATCAAGAAATCAATTCAAGATAACTAGCTATCGATATCACTAGTCCAATTCCGTTATTCAAAAATCATAAAGGTCATTTGTTGATATTTAATTCCGATTCCAAAGTTGAATTCCGTGAACCAAACAAAAAAATTCCAATCCGTTAAGAATTTTATTCCAATTCCATACAACCAAACGCAATCACAAGGCATGGTCAAATTCCATCAAATTTCATTTCATTCCCTCAAAGTCAAATTTATTTGATGAATTTCAATTCTATCGAATTCCATTCTACGAACCAAACGCCCCCTAAGTTTCTTAAAAGGTATGAGAGTATGAGAGCCACAAGAGAGGTTTATCATTAGAGGGAACAACTTGACTACATTGTGGCAATTAAGGGACTCAAAACCTCTCTTATGGCTCTCTAAGAATTAACTGATGTTGGTGACACGTTTATTTTCTATTGATGTTAAATAGTCGGTTAATATGTAATTACATATCATTTGTTTTTTTTATGCATGTCATTTTTGAAAAGCAATATGAAGATCAATTTGGCTATCAATCATGGCATCATGTTCCAAACAAATCTATTCTATTATGGAAGTAAAATTGCATATTTGAAAGATTTTGATATAAGTAATGTAGATATTAGAAGTCTAAGACAACATATTGAAGACTTTATTTCGTTTATAGTTAGTCGAATGTACTATACGGTTCCTAACACGGATTTGGAAAAAGGATTGAAACCCTTGGTAGTGATGCTGATGTTGATAGGTTTTCTAGTCATGGTATATATATTGTCAACATAGTTGGAAATTTTTGTAGATCATTTTAATGTTGGTATCGGTGAGTTCTTGAATAGTGATGATGATACTATTGAAGAGGATTATGTTTCCCGTAGTGATGATGAGATTAGGTTTTCCGACAATGACGAGGTTGGTGGTTTAGATCATTTATCGGAAGGAGATGATAAAATTAGAGAGGTTAGGATAAAATAAATCAATAGATAAATGGAAGATGTGAATGTTGAACACATAATACATTCTTGTAATGAAAATGACGATTTTGAAAGTTAGTTTAGTGCCCTAAAAGAGGAAACAAGTGAAATTTGGTTGCATTTTGATGCAATTTTCTCATTATAAAACTATTGAAATTATCCATTTTGAATGATTAAGTATTTGAAAAAAGAAACTAAATAAATAAGTCATCAAACTTTTATTTATTAGTTACTTACATTCTTTTAACCATAAAAACCTACAGTTAACCTGCTAGATGAAGTAAAAAAAATCTTAATCAGTTTACTTGTCCCAAACCCTGCGTCATATGAACCTCGTGCAACCAATGCCATTGCTTCCCCTTGCCACCATTGTACCCAACATCATTGCTCCCCTTCATTAATTTTCTCACCGTGTCTGCTCTCTATTGTCACTTCATTATCTTCATCTTTTCGATCGGTTTTTTGGGCTTTTTGTTTTCCCCTCTTTTTTATCTGTCTATACGTATTTTATCAAATTCTTGTAAAAGATCAACAGCTCAATGACGGTTATCGACATTTGGTAATGGGAAAAAAAGAAGACATGTTGGTAAAGTCGATAACTCATTTTTCTTGTATATTTAATCATATTGGATTAGGAGTCAGACAGCAATTTGTTCAGTTATATTGGGACAATCAGGTTTAGCTACAAGGCGAGTTTAAATTCAATGTGCTTACGTCAATGAAGTTTCCAAACAAGATAGTCGTAGGGAAGGGAAGTGGTACGTTGATTATTTTGGTTTCTTATTCTTTAGAGGATGAAGAGAATGATATCGATTGTTGTTAATCACGCATTAGATATATATATATATATATATATATTTGTTTACTTCTTATTGTTAATCGGTCATCATCAAAATGATTTGTAAGCGTGTTGGGTAAAAAAAACACGAAAACGGACGAATGAGATATGTTTGTGTATATAAATATATAGTGAGGACGAGTTGTGCAAAAGAATTGGAAAAACGATAGGTATAGAAGGGTAGTGGTATTTACGCCTACGGTAGCAAAGTTGTAGCATTTCCGTAATCATTATTTACATGTTGATAGAACTAAAAACCGAACTTATTTCCCTACCTAATTAATTAATCTCTCCTGATTATCGCATTGGTGCGTCAAATCACTGCCAACTTGACAAAAAGGAGTAAAATAAAAAAGGTAACTTAACAAGGTGTTCCAGGCGAGCATACGAGAAATCCAGCGTCTTTGGTGAGCGTTTCGACGGTGGAGGCTGGTTCCGGTGGTATCATTCCGGCTTGCTCTTCAGGTGTCAGCTGTGGATCACTGCCGGAATCTATGAACACGGCTCCATTTAATAAAAGGTCATCCTGTGATCTCCAATTCCATTTCTTCCACTCTGCCTCTTCCACACCTACCCTCATTGTCACCTTAATTCAAAACACCATCCATCCATATATTATTGTTACATATACATATACGTATATATATATATATATATATATATATATATATATATATGAAGAAAGAAAAAGGTATATATATTTACCTTTTTCTTATTTTTATCATCAGGAGCCACGAATCGGTTTCCTTGACAGAGGATAGTCGGGTTGGAGGTACCACCGATTGCGTACAATCCCCATTTCTCATAATCATTGTTAACAACCTGGAAAAAACCCCATCGACACCTTGGCATTCTTTGAACACATCCTGTACTAAACTTGTTGTATGCCACTGTCACTTTCATAATTTTATCTTCAGAATGCGAATCATCTGCCCCTAGCAACATTACCTGTGTATGTGTATGTGTATAAATACATTCCAAACTTCATATATGTATAGTAAAATGGATACATATATGTATGTATTGAATTCAAGTTTCTTACTTTATCATGATCGTTGAATTTGCAGTTGGAAACGGTGACGAGAGTGCTACCCATGGTGACATCCACAAGCCCATCTGGGCCTCCGGCAAACGAGCAATGATCGATCCAAACCTGTGTGGAACCAAAAACCTTGATAGCATCACCATCAGCCTCTGATCTTGGTCCTGGTTTCCCTTCTCCACTTGCAATAGTTCCGCCTTTAGTTTCTTTAATATCGTGTATGTAGAGGCCGTGAACGATGACGTTTTTGACCTTGTAAACGGAGAGACCTGCGCCATTACAGATCTCGACCTTCACACCTCTACCATCGATTGTGGTGTCGGAAGTAATCACAAGCTCATGTATGAGATTGATCACCATATCTCTCTCGAAGATGATCCACAAAGGTCGTTCTCGGGTGACACCCCAACGCAGCGTTCCTTCCACTGGTGCTGCAGCGTCCACATCTGAAGGATCGGTGACTTTATAGATTTCTCCGCCTGCACCACCGGTGGTTCCGGTTCCAAAACCCTTCACACACTGGGCTAATGCTTGTCGATTATCTGCCCAATCGGGTTTGCATCTCCAGCAATTGTCTATTGGGTTCGTGGGTTCGCAACCAGCTAGGCTCCTCCTTGAACTATTCTTTCCATCTACAGAACTACAATAATTTATATATTCTCCGTTAATATAATAGGATTTTATAAAACATCAAACCATTTTGTCTAAGTTATAGCACTAAAAAAAAATGTTTTTATCTAAAATTGTTACAATAAGTTTATAAGACGGTTTTATATGTCTTAATAAGTCATTTTAGCACATTTTCAATTAAAAAAAAGTTGTCGTATTAACTATATTTTATAGTACACTTTTGAGAAATGTTGTACATTTGTTCTTATAAAACATTTTTTTTAAATAATGTTCTATAGAATAACTAATATGACGTTTTTCTAAAAATGTTCTAAAAACTTGTTACGACATTGAAGAACATCTATTATAAGTTTATAACACATTTACATAGTAAATACAGTTGTTTTTATGTTAAATACATAAGTCTTACGGGTTGTTTGTTTACCTCTTAATAGTTCCATTAAGAGACAACGTCTGAATCGTTAGAGGTGATTCTTGTTTGGCAAAAAAAAAAGTTTATCTCTTAATAGTTATAAAACTCTCTGAATGATTTTGTATCGTGGACCTCTCTTAACCATTCAGCGCCCTAATTCCATTGTAAACAGTTACCGAACAATTATATTTGAGAGTCTCTCAATCATTTTGACCATTTAATCATTTTGTACCAAACCATTCAGGAACTGACAAACAACCTCTTAGATATTAAAGCAAGTCTATTGAGACATGTAGATAATATAACCTCGATTTTTGTAGTGAATGTAAAAAAAAAGATTAAGTGACATACATGGAAGCCTTCTCGGCAAGTTTGGCACGTTCACTTGTATAGTCACTGGCTTCCGGGATCTGAGTATCGTTATCTGAGCTCCAGGGGGCACCGAGGGCTATAGTAGTTGGCACCATAAAAGCAAAAACAACAGTGAAGAGGAAAACGAACGCTTGTAGCTTCTCCATCATATATGTATGATCGTTTTATTGTTCCTCAAAAGTATGATAACGAACCCTTAAGCACAAATCGTTGGTGCTACCATTGTTGCTCCATAGCAGGTGATTCGCTTGAAAGTCTTTTGTTGAAGATCGGTCGTTTTAATAATAAGTTTATGTTTACGTAATAATCGGTTTACCATAAATTAAATAGGTGGTTATAAAATTACTATTTTGTAGCAAAAAGAAAGCTAGAAATGAGAGATACAAAGTGGTTTTCGGTATGTAAGTCACGGTATGTAGTGGGGTTGCTATTTGCTAAATGTATACATTCTTACCCTCTCTTAATTATCATTTTAGTAAACAATTCAACTTTTTCAAACTTAATAAATTTTAATTTAAAATTACAATTTATACCCTATAATTACTTAATTAACTTAGGGGTCGTTTTACTAAACACTTACTTGGTAAGTACTTATCAGATAAATTTTCTCATCGGATGAACATGAGAAGAGTCAAGAATCTTACCGGGTAAGAGCGATAAGAATGATGGGGAGTCTTACCCAGTAAGTAAGGATGACAACTCTTACCCAGGTAAGCGTTTACCCACTAAATTGTTGCATTCGATATGTTTTAATATACTAAAATCTTACGCATCAAAATAAATCATAATGTTGACTCATATCGGTAAGCGTTTACCGGGTAAGCAATTGGGTAAACAGTCCCTTACTTTATTAAAGAAGAAAAAAGTTTAAAATATTCGATCTACTTTCTCATTAAGAATAATGAAGTTCTTGAAAAAAATAATTAAATAAATAAAATAATTGATTTTTTCCGTCAATATCTTTAAAACAAGCTCACTATTAAATATTTTTAGATTTAACTATATTATTAAATATC